TCAAAGAATAGTCTACAAAGCAGCCTTGATTCTTATCGTTCCTTCTTCCTTCACTTCTAATCCATTCATCTCTCCCAATCCCCATAATTATCATCCTTGTCTAAGCAGCTGTCATCCCTTCTAGAGACTATTGCACACACACTCTACTATTCTCTCCCTTTTCAATCTTTCTACACACACACACACACACACACACACACACACACACACACACAAGCACATAAAAAAATAACTATTCTCCTTGGAACAGCCAGAGTTTCATTTTTAATTTTTTAAAGTAAACTGGATGCCACACATGGGACTCAAACTCATGGCCCTGAGATCAAGAGTTGCATGCTCTACCCACTGAGCCAGCCAGGAACCCCCAGAGTTTCATTTTTAACATAATAATGAAACCACATCACTCCTCTGCTTAGGTTCTTCTAAAATCTAAAGGCTTCCCATCACCCTGAGAATGAATAAAACCCTTCCTGGCTTACAAAGCCTTCCATGTCTTGGTATTGTGCAACCTGCCTGACCTCATTTGATCCCATTCTCCCTTCATGCTCAACTCTCAATGCTCCTAACTCACTGCGCTTCTTCCTTTCCTCACCAGATTAAGCTTGAACCCATGGTAGGGCCACTGTGTGTGCCAGTCCCCTTGAAATGCTCTCTGCTTTCACCTTGTTATATGTAGTTGGTCCCAATCAGATCTAAATGTCACTTCTTCCAAGAAGCCTTTCTTGGTCATGCAGTCCACAGCAACCACTGGCTTTTTCAAACTCAACAGATTACTCATCATCAACTGATTTTTTTGCTTATTCATTTGTTTGTTTTCCCACGTAGTAAGCTGAACTCTACCCTTTATGAGGGCTTTGGCTTTAATACATGATTTCTGTTCAAACTACCTCAGTGTTTAGACTAGTGCTTGTTGTTTAGATTAGTGTAGAAGGTATTCAGTAAATTAAAAAAAAAAATTTTAATGTTTGTTTATTTTTGAGAGAGAGACAAAGTGTGAGCAGGGGAGGAGCAGAGACAGAGGAAGACACAGAATCTGAAGCAGGCTCCAGGCTCTGAGCTGTCAGCACAGAGCCCGACGTGGGGCTCAAACTCAGGAACTGAGATCGTGACTTGAGCCGAAGCCAGACGCTCAACTGACTGAGCCACCCAGGTGCCCCAAATTTTTAAGTGCATGAATGAGTGAATCAATATTTTAAGAGCCAAAATATATTTTCAACTAAAAAATAGACATTTGGATGATGAAGGCTAATGAAACTAAGGTCTCTTCAAAAAGGCGAGGTTTCTTAGCATGATACCAACAAATAAACTCCTGTTATTAAGAGTTTTGCTGTATTTTCCCTTATAATGTTCTGTTTTATTTCTTTGGCCATAGCACTCGTCACTAGTAACTCTATTTTCTGCACACCCATTTGTTTACATTCTTTCTCATCATACTAAAAATGTAAGCACCGTGAGCAAAGTGATTTTCTCTTGTTTATCACTGAATTCACAATTTAGGACAGCAACCTGAACAAAGAGACATTCAAAAATTTTTGTTGAATGAGTGAAAATAAAAGGTATTAGTTGAAAGTGGTTGATTCGTGTCCTCTCAATTTTTCAGTGAAGAAACAAAAGCATTCTTATCTAGAAGTAATGGGCCACCGATTCTGTGTAAATAGTTTCGATTATGGATCTCATTAAATGTTCTTATAACTCAAATTCCTTCAGACATGGGGTAAGCCATTACAAATATTTTGCCTTAGTTTTTGCTTCCTGAAAAATAGGAATTAGAGGAAATAAACAAACCAATTAAAATTATCTTATCTTTTTAGAGAAAGCCCAACTGGAGAGTTCAATAATCACCACCAACTGATTATCATTCAGGGGTAAATGAGCACAAATGAGAAAGTAAAAAGGATGGAAGAAAAAAATCTGAGAGGCACTTTTTGTGCTGCTTAGGATAAGGCTTCTCTTGTTTTATTGAACTTGTTAATAAAAGCTCCAAAGTCTAGGGAAAAGACTTCCGGGCAGCAAAAGCAAAGTTTTGAGGCTCACAGGTCTAAGGAGAAATTAATAAAATGCAGTGGGGAAATTAAACTGAACAAAAGTGCAATGAGCCATAGGTAAAGCAATTAATTAAGCAGGTTTTGATATGTATATAAGTGGGTTGCTGAAGAAGTAAAAATAAATCCAAGATTTTAAACCAGTGTTTGGTATTCAGCAGAACACCAAATGGTCACATGTAGAAAACTTGTAGTTTTTAAAGTAGTGTTCTTTGAGGACTTCCTTCCTTATTTATATGCATCACCACCTTTCCTTTTTCCATTAATCTTTTAAAAAAACCTATGCTTTCAATAATATACAAAAGCCTTTTGCTTTTGCTTAGTTCTCTTCCGCATTCTTTTTATGCCAATTTCAAAACCAGGCAATTTTCTTGCAGGCTCAGTTATAAAAATATGTACTTTTCGGTAGTATGTCTACTACTTTTCAGGAAGCAATGAAGATTAACTTGGAGGTGTCACGACCGCAGGCTGGGAGTCACACAGATCTAGTGTCAATTCATGCTTAACCTTAAGTATGAATTAACCTCACTCATAACTCTTAAGAGCTATGAGACCCTGTACAAATAACCTAGCTCCTGTAAGCCTCAGTTTCCTCCATTGTAAAAAATGTAGTTTGAGCTAAATACATTTGCTAATTCCTTGGCACAATGTCTGCCAGAGGAATATTTCAATAAAATGGAAGTATTAATATAAAGCAATTTGCAACTTGTGTGTGTGTTTTGATTGCCAAAATTGCTTGTTTATATATATATGTATGTATTTATATATACGTACTATAAATACAAATTTGTAATATAAATATATGCACATAAATATTTGTATATTTTTACCAAAAATGTTTTTTTAAAAAATAATGAAATGATTGGTGGGAAATAGGTTTCTCGGCTACTGTCCCGAATCTTCACTTACAAGTACATTATTTCAGTTGAGAATTTGATTGAGAATCTGTCTGGGGTGGCTAACTCTCCTGGCTTTCCTCTGACTCTCCTGGCTTCAGCACTCAGATTCCTTCATCCTCAGAAACCCTTCCTTCTCAGACAAATCTAGTCACGAGTCCTTGGTTTGGAAGGTAATCATTCATTCATGCATCCATCCATTTTTCTGTAGTACAAGGTACATTCTTATTCTGGAGATACGAAGGCCGATCGGCCTTAATAAAGCCACAGCCTAGAAAAGGAAACAAACCAGCAAGTGTCCGTAAGACCTATGGTAGCTGCTGCTGATGGAGGTTTGCCCAGGACGTCTGAGAAACGCAGGTGCGGGGCACCTCACGCAAACTCATGGTTTCTGAAGACTTCTCAAAGGACGTGAGCACTGAACTGGAACTTGAATTAGGTTCACACCCTGCCAGGGTCTTCTACTCAATTCTTGTGGGAGTTTTCAGTATCACTTAACTATACATATTAAAGTGCCATCTTCTTAGATTCATTTTGGCTGTTATCTAAGCAGATTTTGAATAGCTTCTGATATGCAGGCAATGTTTATGGAATGTCAACAATATAGGAATATAAATGACCACAAACTGTTAGTTTGCAAGTAGTTCTTCCTGGGGTGTCTGGGTGGCTCAGTCGGTAAAGCGGTAAAGCGTCTGACTTCGGCTCAGGTCGTGATCTTGCGGTTTGTGAGTTCGAGCCTCGCGTTGGACTCTGTGCTGACGGCTCAGAGCCTGAAGCCTGCATCGGATTCTGTGTCTCCCCCTCTCTCTGCCCCTCCCATGCTCATGCTCTGTCTGTCTCTGTCTCTCAATCATAAATAAATGTTAAAAAAAATATTTTAAAGCAGCTGTTCGCAACATGGAGATAGAGGTAAGTTAAAATCGACTTTTAAGAGTAGTAATCTCCCGCTTGCTTTATCATTATGTGAAATTCATTGCACAAAGGAAATTATTGGAACAGGCTATGCTGAAAACAATGCAGCGATTATAATAAATAATATTGTTCTATCCACGATACTGTACTGGTTGCCCCAAAGTGAGCAAGTTGAACATGTTTCCTAAAGCTTGTTATCAGGGAATTGACATTCTATTCTTTATACTTCAACAACTTTTAAAGTATTCCTGAACATGCTGCCATCATTGCAAGTGCTGCGGGAAGATGATAAGACATAGGAGGCTTTTACAACAGAAAGCTCAGATGCAAACAAGCACAGACGGGTAGCTTGAAGACTCGGTTCTTCACCTGCAGGAAGAAGCAGACTTTTCACAGACTCTGAAGGTGGAAGGGAACTTCCTTCTAAAAAGACTGTAAACTGCACGGGGGGGCAGTGATCACACCTGTATCATTCGCTGCTGCTTTCCCAGCACTTGCGACACAACTGGTGCACAAGATGGTGGAGTAAATAACAAAACACATTTAAAAGTCTTCACTCTGCACTTCCAACAAATGATCATTCATTCTCTGAAAAACTCGAGGGACTAAAAACTCCTCTGCAATTCATGAAAATCAAACCACGCATTCTATTCATGTGGAGGTCAGTTAGCGTCACTTTATTCCCTAACTTTAGACCACATCTCTAATCTTGGCTAGTAACCTTTGAGATATTTCCTGGAATTTACTAAGAATGTGCACGTGGTCATGCATAAACTGCTCTTGTTATAGTAATGATATGTCATACCACGCTTTCTGAAGAATATGGACCAATGGCATCAATTTATAGACTCCTCAGTCATAATCACCCTCTAGTTTAAACCCCATAGAAACTACAAATATATATCAGGTAATTATTTTATTGACTATAAAGGTTCTTGGTAATCTTGAGTGATCAAAGGAAAATTTTAAAACTCACTAAAATTCTGAGCAGTTTTTGCATTTTGGTCACTTCTGCATTTTTTTTTTTTACATGTATACATGTGTTCATATATACCTAATCAATATACCTGACACATCTAAAATTCAACGGAAGAGTTGGAAGCAACAAGTCTGTGAAATTTTTACATTTTCTGTATTACTCTTTTTTTACCTTTGAAGTTTACTACACCAACTGCAGTTGAAGCCAATCTGAGAGGATACACAGGGGCCACAACCATTAAACTGGAGACATGCTAGGAAACAGGAAGAATAGGTTTATCAAGACTAATTGGCAGCATGGAGAGAAATTAAAAAAAAAAAGAATGCTCAACCAAAATTAAAATCCCCCACCCATCCCTATATACACACAGGATCAAGATACCTATGCATAAACAGAGCAGATCATGAAACTTTCCATCTAGTTCTGTTCACATGGTAACTTACTAGGTAATGGGGTCATCTCCACAGCTGAAATATTGGTAATTTTTGACATCTGTAGCTCTACTCGGTGGTATTCATAAATTGTTCTTCTCCGGACATCTGTAAAAACACAAATAGAAAAAAAAAAAGACTTTCAAGATTTCTTTGCCTATAAAGCAACATTTAATAATGAATATAAAATGATATGCTTTTCACCCAATGTGGTTTTAAAATGAAGATTTAAAATAATCCCTGTGAAGAGAGTGGTTATTAAAAACAACCTGAAAATCATGTGCTGATATACCCAGAAGTCTTTTTTTTTAATTTAATTTAATTTAATTTTTTTTTTTAATTTTTTTTTTCAACGTTTATTTATTTTTGGGACAGAGAGAGACAGAGCATGAACGGGGGAGGGGCAGAGAGAGAGGGAGACACAGAATCGGAAACAGGCTCCAGGCTCTGAGCCATCAGCCCAGAGCCTGATGCGGGGCTCGAACTCACGGACCGCGAGATCGTGACCTGGCTGAAGTCGGACGCTTAACCGACTGCGCCACCCAGGCGCCCCTAATTTAATTTAATTTAATTTAATTTAATTTAATTTAATTTTAGAGAGAGAGAGAGAATGTAAGCAGGGAGAGGGACAGAAAGAGAGAATCCCTTTAAAAAAATTTTTAAAATGTTTTATCTATTTTTGAGAGAGAGAGAGAGAGAGAAAGAGAGATGAGTGGGGGAGGGGGAGAGAGAGAGGGGAAGATGCAGAATCCAAAACAGCTCCAGGCTCTGAGCTGTCAGCACAGAGCCCAACGTGGGGCTTGAACCCATAAACCATGAGATCACAACCTGAGGTGAAGTCAGAGTCTCAACTGACTGAGTCACCCAGGTGCCCCAGACAGAGAGAGAATCTTAACTCAGGCTCCACGCTCAGGGTGGAGACTGATGCAGGGCTCTATGCCATGACCCAGGGATCATGACCTGAACTGAAATCAGATTTGGATGCTCAACCAACTGAGCCACCCAGGTGGCCCTCAGCCCTCCAGAAGTCTTTTTTTTAACCTGTGGAGTTGAAATGTTGATTATGGTCTCAGATATCTCACTTTGCTAGTGGGCTCCAACCCATTGTTACCCAGAATATACTGAAGAAATTTTCTTGATGGATTTATATATTTTGAAAGACTTTGACATAAAATCATATGACTTCACTCATATGAGGACTTTAAGAAACAAAACAGATGAACATAAGGGAAGGGAAACCAAAATAATATAAAAACAGGGAGGAGGACAAAACAGAAGAGACTCATAAATATGGAGAACA